CCCATCCAGCCCCAGGGCAGGGACTGGCTGGCTCAGGGGGGGAGGGAATGGGGCAAGGGGCCTCTCCCTTTTAAGGGGTGCTGGCTCCCATCTGGCCCCAGGCAGGGGGCGGGCTGGCTGGCTTGCTTGGGGGCAGTGAATGAGACATGGGGGCTCTTTTCTCTAATGTCATGCTGGGGCATTGAGGTCAGCCCTGACTCGGAGGGGAGAGCATCCCCTGCTGCTCCCCTTTCCCCCACTTGCTTCATCTTTTCCAAGTACAGAAGAGCCTGCTGTGTTTTTTCTTGGCAGTTTGCGGAGATCATGGTGAAGATCGAGGAGTATATCAGCAAACAGTCGAAAGCCACAGAAGGTACTGGATCAGGAATGGGGTGTGGGAGCGCAGCTAACCTCTCTGCTCTGACTGCAAAGGTGGTACCATCAGTATCACAGCACCTCCTAGCACTGGGGTCAGCACTGTCTGTGTGGGGAGAGCGCCCCCTACTGAATCCCCACCCTGCTCCCTGCAGCACAGAGCCCCAGTGAGATCCTTACGTGCGTTCTCTCCGCAGTGATGGGGCCGGTGGAGGCGGCTCCGGAGTACCGAGTCATCGTTGACGCCAACAACCTGACGGTGGAGATCGAAAATGAACTGAGTGAGTGGCTGCCTCGTGACGGGCGTTGCTAAAAGAGACGCATGTGGGGGGTGGGGACACAGTGTGTGTTTGGGGGTACAGGAGGTGCTGTGCAAGGGAGGTGCTCCATCTCCCAGGGAAGTTCTCTGGCCTGCCTTGTGCAGGAGGTCACATCAGATGGTCACCGGGCCCCTTTTGTGAGCCTACAGAGTGCCTGCCCCAGCAAGGATGCGCTCCTGGCATACACAGCTCTGCTCTCCGCCATGTCCGTGACTGGAGGAGGTCCCCGGCGCACAGCTAGCCATCGGGGGCTACGCCACGTGTAGTGGAGTTGGCTGATAGACTGCCTCTCCTTGCTCTGAGTCGGACTGAGAAACCAAAACTTCCGATTTGGGACCTTCAGCTTGCAAGAGCAGAGGACAGGAAGCAGAAGGGTTAATTCTGAAGGAAGCGGAGGCTGTGTGGCCTTGTGGTTAGAGCGCTGGGGACTTGGGAGCTGGGTTTATTCCCAGTTGTGCTGCTGGCCTGCTGGGCGACTGTCCCTCGCTCTGTGCCTCGGTTTCCCCATCTGTGAAATGAAGATAAAGAAGGGCAGAGCGGTTAAGTGCCGTGAGATTGAGTTTGTTAAATAGGCAGGTGGGGTAATCCCCAGCTCTTGTCTATGTGCAGCCGTACAGGGCCTGGCTGGGGACATGCAGCTTCCCTTCTAGGGTCCGGGGGCTTCTGCAACAGAAGAGAGGCCCCCCCAGGTGATTTCCGGGGCTGCTCCCCAGTAACTAACAGGGTGGGGTCTCGTCCCTTCCCCTCCCCCTTTGTGTCCCATCAGACATCATCCACAAATTCATCCGGGATAAATACTCCAAGCGATTCCCCGAGCTGGAGTCCCTGGTTCCCAATGCCCTGGATTACATCCGCACGGTCAAGGTGTGTGCTGCTGCTGCTAGTGGTGGGGTAGGAGGGATGAGTGACGGGCAGAGTGGAGGGCAGATGCGTGTTAGGA